ACTCTAAGAACTCAGTTCTTTCGCAATTTGATTAGAAAAATGATTTGAATAAGTTAGCGTGTTCGGATTAGGTACGCTGGGTATTTTAGAAATGTAAGATCGGAAGGATCACAACTCAAGGTGTGCACCTCGAGAGCGGTCGCTTAAAAATTCAAGGAAGGCGAGATCCAAGAATTTAATTGTTTTGCTTTAGAAAGATTGTATAATTTAACTAAGAAAAATAGTCTTAATTTTCATATATAAAATAAATTAATCAATTGTAAAAAGTCTTGAGAAAAGCTAATAATAACTAATTGTTTTGAAAAAGTTTAATATCTTAGAAAAATATTTTAACTTAATTAATATATATATATATATATATATATTTTAATACTTAGAATATTATTTGTTAATAGTTTTGGAATATATTTATTTAAAAATAATAATTGGAAATTTCTTATAAATATATAATCAAATAAAAAATCGACTAATAATATCTTTTAGAAATTTCAGTTGAATTGAGTGAAAAACGGTTTTGAAAATCAAAAGACGGAACAACCACAATTCAAAGGCGTGCGCCTCGAGAGCGATTGTCCAAGGACCCAAGGAGTGCTAGACCCCAAGAGCCCGCTACTTTCATTGATTAAGGAAACAATTGGTGGTCTTAAATAATAATTAATTGTTAGAAACTAAATTGGATTGAGATTTTTATTAATTAACCAAAAAACATTCGAGTAAAGTCAAGGTTACGTATTTGTTATCCCATCAATACAAGATTAATCATCTATTAGTAATAATATAAGAAAATAAGAATCATAATCTATAGATACTATTATAATTAACTTTAGATTAATTACCTAAAATTAAACTAAATAATAACACAAACTAAAACTGTCTCCTATTGGCCTTATAAGGCCCATCAATAATGCAAACAAGCTAAATGGCCCCAATAGTCACTTAACCAAACTGGCAGAGAGTGAAAAGAGAACTCAGGCCATCATATTTGAATTTCTCTCTCGGCCCAAATAAAATAAAAAACGAAAAAGAAAAAAACTCATAAACCCCAGCCACTTTGCACGCGTGTCTCCTTCCTCCTTCATGTTCTTTCTCTCTCTCGACATCCAATTTCACCATGAAAACATTACTTTCTCGCCTTGTTAGAACCCAATTCCCCTAAACCTCCTCAAAATTAAACTTCACGACTCCAATCGTCACCAGAAACGCGAAACCTCACACGGGTCAAATCAAATATCAGCATACAAGAGTGATGTCTCGAATCCTAAACCCTTATCGAATCCCTAATTTCATAACACCACCTCCTAGATTCGTAAAGATGCTAGCAAGTTGTGAATCAGTTACTCTAACGGCCTTGGATTAACAATCAAATTCATGAATGTTTATACAATATGCAACAAAAATGGCGGAGTAACCACGAGGCATCGAAAAGGTGTAAAGACAATGGTGAGCAAAAAAAGCTGAAGGTGATGAATATTTTACCAACGTGAGTGCTTTTGTGATACCGGTGAGTGCTTTCCTGGCTTTGCTTTGAATCTTATTCCTCTTCTCTCATCTTATTTCGCAGTGGTTTTGGTTCTTTATCTGCTTATATGTCTTGATGAAAGTGCGTGAGTGTGTGGCCGAGCTCACCTTGCACAGTGCTTTGATGATAGCTCTGAGAAGGTTTGCGAAAAGAGCTTTTAGGAAATGTTAGGAATTGAATTTGGCAGAGTTTTCTTAGGGTTTTCTTCTCTTCTGCTGTAGTTTTTTTTAGGGTTTTTTCCTCTGTTCTTCACTAATCATTAGGTCCCTTTTTATAGGAGGATTCAAGATATTCTCATACGTGTGATTTTTAGAGAAATCCTGAGGAATATTCCTTCAAGTGTGTGAGGTTGTGGGCTGTGGTCCTGCAATACCGTTAGAGAGGTTTTGCACAAGGATTTGGGTGGGGGGACCAAGGTGATGGTGACTTGTTCTTTGTCTCTAGCTACTTGTGAAAATATCTGTTTTTTACTCTAAATTTTTACTGTGAAAATGTGGCTTTTACTGCTGTAATATTTTTGACTTTAGAATGTCTTGGTATGACTTATTTGAATGTATTCCTTACCATTGCAGGGGATGAAGCCAACATATTTGGATGGAACTTCAATAAGATATCATGGCTAGGAGAGGAAAAATGATGTACCGCTTACTTCTCGACTCACATAAGGATGGTATATTTAACTTCCTCTATTCTTTTACAGCAGCAATGCACAAGGTTGACATAGTTTTGTAAGAGCAAAAATTGGCTATTGACTCATCTTCATTTCTGGTTCTGCAGATACGTTTTGTGTGATCTCGTGCCAATGAATTCCTGGAGCGTTGCAACTTAGCTTTTGGAGCTCTGTGGTATGGTTTGAGTTTGGAGACTTGGTCATGAACGGCAAGTATACGAATCATAGCTCAACACATGGAATGACTTAACCTATGGACAGCTTTAAATAATCTTGACAATCTGTTCACGACTCTGGTGTGAGAGCGATATTATGAGTCTCGGGGAAGACTTGCAGCCTTAGCTCTTGCGGTGATGCTTCTCTTCATCTTCCTAGTTGTTTTAATGCTGCCCAAACCAAACTCAAATATTTGTTCTCGCAGTTGCTGTACAAGTTTTAGTGACAAAGAGCGTCCAGTTCCTTCATAACCAATAATTCAACTCACGAAACTCCGAGTTGATTAGGATCAAATGGTAAGCAGTACAAGCTTTGTGATATTATCATTGTTGTGGTGAAGATATTCAAAACTACTGTTGGGTCTGAGTGTTGCTTCAAATTTACAACGCAAATCTCTGATGCAGTTACGTCGTCACTGTTGCGCATTAAAAAATTGCTATCGTGTTCACAATACGCCTTTGTGTGGCGGTATCTACTGAATGGCCTAGTTGTGACGCTTGCAAATACGCAGGCCCGAGTAGTATAAACAAGTAATATACTGGAGCATCTGCCATTAATTGTAGATCATCTGGAGAATTCTAGTAATGTGATGCAACATATATGGCCATCATTCCGACTGGCCTCTGTGCCCTTAGAGACACATGGTTTTGCTCTTGTAATTGGTATGCATTTTCATGACATTGTACTTGCAAGTTTTTTTTTTTTACTTTGAACCTCTTACCATCTTGGTCTTTTAGTGAGACCTCCATAGGTGCACCGTCATTTCTAATACTTTCCTATACGTTCTCTTCTCTTCCCTGAAATCAAGTATTTGCTTCTACGTGCTTTTAGATGCTTTATCACCTGCTCATTGACATACTTCTATTTTCATGTGCATAATAGGAGTGAAGATGACCATTGGATTTGGAAATTTATTACGGATCAATGGAGCTCTTGTTGTTCATGTCGCATTACTTGGAGTTGCTGCGCACATTACGGTTACCGCTGCACACTTTTATTGTTACTACTGCACATGCGTGTTGGATGTTTCAATAAGTGGACCTGTAGCTAATGTTATCAAGCCAACAACTAATCCATGGTAGCTTTCCTTAAGTCGATTCTTGACTGCTAAAACCATAATTTCTTTCTGGTTTAATTGTTTTGTTCATTCTGCTATAAATCTCATCATTAACACTGATGTGTATTCTTGCTGTTGAAAAGCTCTCATGGTAACTTTGCGTTTTTGCGTTGATTTTCATGTACTGACCTCAACTTTGTGTGGAGTGGTATGATGCCTTACAATCTTACGGATGCGATCAAGGCTTGGCAGGTAAATCCGGGATTCAATCTTAAGCGTCTCATTGCGCATCTCTTACTGTTATGGCATGTTCTTATACTAACCAATGATCACCTTTTCTATTTAGAGTCAATGACCCAACCAAGTTATCTTTGACAAAGTTCGACGGCAGCTTTGGATTTTGTAAGTACCCCAAGTTTGGTTATCAAAAAAGAAAGATCATCACCAAAGCAAGAGCATTAGTTCCAATAACACTTTTCGTTCCTGAGGACGTTATAGCAACTCCAATAGGCAAGTCAGTGTTTGATAGTGAACTTCTTGTCATTGTGATAATCCTTGCACAACAGATCTCTGGCTTTCTTGCCGATGTCGGTGTAGAGACCAGGACCCTTCACCATGGCTGCTCTGTTGAAACGAGGGATCTCATTGTTTTTTATTTTGTTGCATTGTGAACTGATTATGGCTTGTATATTGTACTAACCACCTTTATTTCTTATTCATGTATGCGCTTATGGGAGACTTGGCATAACACGGGTTTGATACGACAAGGAGAAAGACCAACAACAAGCTTGCGCCAGCTTTTCCTTGTGTGCTGCTTGTTATTCGAAGGTATTAAGCTCATTCACTTTGGCCCTTTTAGATTTTTTCATTGTTTTTTTATTTGGGCTCTTCATTCCATAACTAATATCGCTGGGCTTATACAGAGAGAACCGTACAACATCATTTTGGGTCTTCAGTTTAACTAGTGAATTACTTATGTATCTGGAAGGTAGCCAGTTTGCCTGATTACCTTGGCTTCCAGTGACATTTGATCTCAGTTGTGAAACAAAAGCTGACGGAGAACATAGAGGAGGTAATTTTTGAAAGATGTCTTGGTATGCTGTAAGTTCTTGGATGTATGGAGTAAGGAGTAAAAGATCGAAAATATTTGGTAGGGGATGATGCAATAGTCGGAACATTTTCAACTAAGCATAGCCCGAATAAGCTATGTCTATTGGATGCGTAGGAAAACCTGTGTCTTGCTCCTCTGACTGAAGCTGCAGAAAACATATAAGTCCAGAATTCAGCTTAAACGAAACTGAGAACTAACTGATTGGTAAGAATCCTCTATCTCCGAACTTCGCCAGCAAGGATGAATTTCAGAACATTGAAATGAATTTACCAAAATCTTTATATAACCGTGAGCCACAGTGACATTGACCGATGTCGATGAACGACGGTTAACAGAGGTATTAGGGTTCGATGAGCTCTGGAACACTGGAGGAGTTCAACGAGTACCGGGAAAAAATTTACTAGGGTTGATGAATAGGGTTCAATCGATGAATTTGGGAGCGAAAGAACTTGCCTTATATGGGCAGAGTGCACTTGTTCCCTTTCAGGGCTCATTTGATCCCATCAAAAAACAACACCCACAACCTAAAGTTGACCTTGATGAGGAGACTGATAGAGTGTGGAAGCTTTTGCTGTTAGATATAAACCATGATGGGGTTGATGGAACAGATGAAGACAAGGCCAAATGGTGGGAAGGAGAACGTAATGTTTTTCGTGGACGAGCAGAATTATTTATTGCATGGATGCATCTTGTACAAGGTATCAGTGCAAGACCTTCAACCAAAGTTTAATCCTTTGCACTCATTGGCTTTAGTTGTATATTTCATACAGTATATTAATATAAAACATAATCAACAGGAGACAGGCGATTTTCTCGATGGAAAGGATCAGTTGTGGATTCAGTGGTGGGAGTTTTCCTCACTCAAAATGTCACAGACCATCTTTCCAGGTATATACTCTTCTAGTTTTTTTTAGCTGACTTTGAATTTAACAACATGCCACAACAACTTTTTTTCTCTGTTGACAGTTCTGCATTTATGTCACTTGCTGCTCGATTTCCCAAAAAAATCAGGCAGCATATGCGGAGAAGGCACGAGCCTGACAGTCAACAAACAACAAGTGTGTATGGTGGAACCAGAAGAGAACACCAAATGTGATGTAAACTTATTGAATGAATCTGTTTGCAACCAAAGTTTTATGACAGTAGATATAATTGAGCATTTTGAAGAAAAAAACTGTCAACAGCAATGATTCCTGTAGAATTACCAGTAGCCCGATTATCTTAGTAGATGGATCAAACTTCAAATGAACGGAATCACCTCAAAGAAATAGTACAGAACGCCACGGCTCAATGGTGGTGATTGAGGATAGAGAAGAAAAATCATGTCATGATGGTACTGGGAAAGAGTTAAATGACATTATTTCATCCCAATCCTCTGTCATTTCATCTCAAATATTTGGAGATTTTTCAAATAATCAAAATCCTGAAAAGATAGGATCATGCTCAGATGGCAATTCAGAAGTTGAAGATCTGTCAAGCACGGCAAAATACAACACTTGCGGTTCCTTCTCTAAGCTTCATGGAATGGTAAGTTCAACCAAGTTTTCTGAAGTTAACAGTCAAAGAAGCAAATCAATCGAGAACATGAGAGATGACAATGCGACAGAAAGATGGAAAAAAAATCAAATGACACACACAGAAACTTAGGAGCTCGAAATCAGTGCCCTCCAAACGTGAAGGAAGAGCATAATTTGTACAACAAATATTAGAGTGTAGGATAACATTTGTATCAGTTTGCACCATGATATTAAACACACAACTCACTCATTTTTTCATTTTTTAGTTTCCATATAATGAGAATGAGAGAACCAACGCATATATCATTTTGTGACAATCTTTGTATTCTTTTATACAGTAAGTTTGTATCCCTCTTGAATCATTGAAAGTGAGAAGTCCTTAGTGTTTATCCTTCTATTCAAACATCTTGCCCTATTGCTTTTTCCATGCTTTACAAGACAAATTCTTGAGGACCATGGAATTTTATCTGTTGAACTTGGTATTTTTTATAACTTAACTATATAACATCAACTTGGTAGCTGACCCATAGTCTTTTGAGCGGGGAATTGGCTATTAGGCATGATAGAGATCGTAGGATATCACCTTTTCATATGGACTTGATTTGTACAATCACTCATGAATTTAATCCCGTAAGTTTGATTTGATAAACATCGGGATGAACATATTCTGCCAGCTTGTAGTATTATTATTTCCTTATAATCCAAGCAATAAAACGTGGCCATACATCCATTGGTATTTTGGCATCCATCTTGTGGCAAACTCGTACCTATTTGCAATTTTAAATCCACATTGGCTAGTAACGATATTAAGTTTGCTAATCTAATGCCATCACCAATTGATGAATTTCTTGACTAATTGCATCTAAATTCTATTTCAATTATGATGCAAAATCTTGTAAGCTAAATCTAAGTTTGTCACAAACCGATTTAGAAACCAAACATAGCTGGACGTTAGCGTTCAATTCGAACAAAGCTTGAGGTTAAATCGACCGTGTCTAGAAGCAAGTACTTTTGAACAACTTGGATCAGGCACATGCCATAACAGGCGACTTGTACAATCAACTTCTAGTGAGGCTCACCCATCCTTTAGAGAAGTTCGTAACCAAGTTGAAATAGGGTTTAAATTTCTTGAAATCCAACAATCATGCATTTTATGCCATTGTCCATATCATATATATCTGATCATGATAACGAGGACACATATGAATTTGGATATAAAAGCTGGGGGCACGTTCTTCATCATAAATTGCTGGAGATTACAACCATAATGTGTACACACATGGTCTTTATGAACGAAGTCTCAGATAGTCATAGCCAGAAGTCGTGAAACAGTCAAATCTCCATTAAACACCGAAGTAGGACAAATTTGGGGTATGACAGATGCCCCTATCTAATTGCCTTAAACCTGAGTGAATGAACTGCCGCATGGCGTTCATTTTAAGGTGGAAGTCAATTAGATACAAGAAGACCCCAAAATTTGTCCGGTAGATGAGTGAAAAGTACCATGAACGGGTTCATAGGATGAACAAGATAACCTGATACTCATGGAGCATCTCTACCAAACTTCCCTTGACACCATCTTCCAATGCAGCCCCAATTCTGACTTCCTTCTTGTCATCTTCGGTACCCAGATTGATAACTTCAATATCCTTCTAATGAGGCAAATTTACCCTTTCCTCTTGCTTCAGAAGTCTGGCTAGTTCCTTAAGTAGGTCAGTCTTCATCAGTCTCTTCTTCACCTTGATAGATAGGATTATCAAAATCACACTGAGCCATAGCCGAATCAGAATCGATGGTATCTGATAGAAAAGACTTATATTGTGATGTTTTATGCTCATTATGATATGCAAACAAAAGCAAATACATTGTCATTTTTCTGTTTAATCAAAATGTAAAAACAAAAAGGAAAAATAAGGATCAAAATATTTGAATGCAAAAAGAAAGTCTTTTTATTCATGATAATGTTTGAAAATATCAAAAAGGGCCCTACAAAATGAGTCACTATGTTTTGGGCATAACGTAGGACTAGACATAATAAAAAAAACAAGTGGAAATTACTCTTCAGAAGTGACTTGGATGATTTCCTCCATGCTCCAATTGTATAGCTCCTGTTCGGGGACACAAGGACGGATCCAGGCATCCATGTCATAGTCACTTTCACCTTCATCATCCCCAATAGCATGAATCTTGTCGAAGATAACTCCACCGTTGGTGAATATGACAGGTTCTTTATACCTCTGAGGGTTTTGAGAAGGAACAGAGGGCTTATACCCTAGACTAAACTTGTCTTGTTTAACAAGAACCTTAAGCACCTGGCCCCACCTCTGGGAAGATCCAGATTCAACGATAGCACCGGCATCTTTACACGATGACATTGAGACCTATGGGCTTTTAACTTCAACAGGAGGCTTCTCCTGAATTTGCACTGTTTCAAAATCCTGGCAGGGCGTCTCGTGGATCTCACCATTGACTTCCAGGTATTTAAACAACGACAACTGACTCACCATAATATCCTTCTCACCACACACCGTAACAACTTTACCCTCCATCATATACTTCAACTTTTGATGAAATATTGAAGTGACTTCTCCCGCAACATGTATCCATGGCCGACCAAGCAAACAGCTGTAAGCCAGTTGGATATCTATTATGTAAAATGTTGCATCAAAAACCTCAGGCCCAACCTGTATAGGCATTGTAATTTCTCTGAACACCAACCTCTTCGAGCCATCAAACACTCTTACCACCAAATCATTGGGCATACACATCAACCATTGGGTATCTAACTTCATTAACGCTTTCTTGGATATCACATTAAGGGATGATCCTGTATCAACCACGACGTGTGACAATAGGGACCCTTTGCACTCTATTGAAATGTGTAAGACATGGTTATGATTCCTCCGAGCAGGAGTTAAATCTAGGTCTATAAAACCTAAACCGTTGCCAGCGTTGACATGCGCTACCACCCTCTCAAGCTGGTTCACTGAAATCTCTTGCGATAAAAATGTCAAATTCAAGATCCTTAACAGTTCATTTCGATGTGCCTCAGAACACAACAACAATGACATAATAGAAATCTTCGACGGAGTATGATGTAAGTGATCCAAAATTTTGTAGTCACTTTTGAGAATGAGTCTCATAAATTCCTCGATGTCTTTTGAAAAGGAATCATTACCAGCCTGCTGCTGGACGTCTTCCTCAATCACTGCATTGCCCTTCCCTTTATCATTCTAATCAGAACTAGATCCAGGTGGAGAGAATACCCTCCCACTTCTAGTGATTCCTCCCTTGCCGACTATATTTTCAACTGAACAACCACCATACGACGACCTTGTCAATTCCTACTTCTGTCCATTACATAACACTTCTGCCCCATAATTCTAAGGGATAGCTTTAGTGCTCTTGTATGGCACAGTTCCAGGTGTAGTAATGATAACCGACGCTGGCCTTGCAGGTGCTAAAATGTTTATCGTCCGTTAGGGAATTGAAATCGTGGCGAATTCACTTCCATCATTACTGATTCTATCATTCACATCCTTTCCCACAACTCTGTCAAAGTGTAGACAACCTTCATTAATAAATTTTTTAATACTATTCTTCAAGAGAATACAACCCTCAGGTTGCAAAGCACACTTTGAACATTCAACCGAACATCATGGAAAAATACCTCGCTTTAACAACTTATCCTCCATAAAGCTTAAAGGGGTATTCAGCTCTTCAACGTCCATGATCAAATTTAACCTCTCCCCCTCTATCACAACATTAGTCTTGGCAATACCATGATTCAACATTGGGTTTTGATTTACATTTGGGCCTTCATTAGTGAAGTTGATCGCCTTCGAATCAAGCAAATCCTAGACTTTATGCTTGAATGCTTTATAGTTGTCAATATGATGGCTCGGGGCTCCTGAATGGAACTCACACCTTGCATTTACATCGTAACCCGGAGGCGGCGCACCAGTGAGAGGTGCCAAGGTTCTCTTCTGAATAAGTTGCAACTGCAGCAAATTCTATAATAGTTGAGAATAAGGCATTGGTGGTGTCTCGAACTGTCTGTTAGCCATTCTTCCTCTGTCTTGGTAATGGAGAGGCGCGTTGACTTATTGCGGTGCAGCCGGGATGGCTATCGTAGCAACTTGTTGGTGATAATGAGGTTGCACTCGACCTTTACCTCTGTAAGAACATATTGAACTGACATCTCCTTCCCGTTTCTTAAGATTTCTATTATACGACTTTTTCATTCCTCCTGATGAGGATCCTGCTCCACTATGTATCTTCCCTATCTTTATATCATTTTCTACTCTCTCCTCTACCATAACCAGATCTGAGAAACTCCCCGACATACAACCAACTAATTTTTCATAGTATGTCCTAGGCAATGTAGCCATGAACATATCAACCAGCTCTTACTCCATCATTGGAGGCTGTACTCTAGCTGCTAGATCTCGCCACCTCTGGGCGTACTCCTTAAACCCTTCATTGCTTCTTTGCGATAGATTTTGTAGTTGCACCCTGTTTGGGGCCAAGTCACTGTTAGATTGATAGTGGCAAACAAAAGCTTTCCCCAACTCCCTCC